ACAAACAATTGTAAATGAGAACTCTAAAATTCTTAAGTTGTACATCGAGGTTATGTGCAATTAAGGGACGATCAACTTAGAAATGGTGAGTTCGCCTTATGACCTGTTCCTTGTTTGGTTGTGGAATTAGGGCAGATTCATTAGGTTCAACGGTTCATCAAAACTTAATTACATGCGACTGGCGTACATCGAGTGAATTTTAGGAGTGGATCAAGCACAAAGTAGAACACAAGTGTTCGGTTGAGTCACTATTTCTAAATTCATAATGCTAATCATATAGACCTTATTTATGAATTGTTTACAATTACCGTGAAGTTGGGGCATAACACTAATTATGTAGCACAAATATCACCCGACTTACTTTTACTATTAATGACATACCAAGGTTTTGTTATTTTGGCATAATTATGCCACAGAAAAATCCCAGGCCTAATCGCAATGATCCACCCTCTCCGCCACCATCTCCACCACCACCTCCGCAATTTTACCCCACCATATATATCAAGTTCCCTTAAAAGTAGTAGTAGCGGTTGCAATGTCGCAAATAGATATGAACAGTGTGGATGGTTCTGGATCTGGTGCTACGCATTCTAATCACGAGGACAGTGCGGGGCGTGTAAGGGAATGTTCTTACAAAGATTTCATGAATGGAAACCCCGATTCTTTCAATGGAAGCGGGGGCGTCGTCACTCTAATGCAATGGTTAGAGAGGACCGAAGCAGTCTTCGAAATCTGTTCTTGCCCCGAAACGAGCAAAGTCAAGTATGTGGCATTCACTTTCACCGGTAGAGCTCTTACTTGGTGGAATGGCCGAGTTAAGTCACTTACTCCTGTAGTGGCAAACTCCATAAACTAGGAAGATTTGAAAGATTTGATGCTAAAGGAATATTGCCCGAGGGGCAAGGTGCAAAAACTTGAAGAGGAACTCTGGAATCTTAAGATGAAAGGCACTGACCTTGAAACCGTGATCGCCGCCTCTAATCAAGCAAGAGGGGGAAACAATAAAAGAAAATTATGGAGCAACAAAAAGAAACAGTCGGGACCAGACTCCGCTAAGAAACAATAGACAGTTGTTGTTCGTGCTACCACTAATCCTACCACTCCAACACCACCAAGGAAATATGTTGGAACCCTTCCCAAATGCAACAAGTGCAACTTCCACCATACCGGTGCTTGTCGGGAAATGCATTGCAGCAACTGCAACAGGAAGGGACATACCACTCGATTCGTAGAGCACTAGCCCAACCCATTACTTAAGTCCCCAGCACCAGAGTGGGTCGAGCCTGCTACGACTGTGGGGAAACGGGGAACTTCAAACGAGACTACCCAAAGGCACGAAATGTAACACCGTAAATTTCAAGACAAAATTTTCATTTAAAATAATCATTTTATTCTTAGAAACACTTGTTTAAAATCTCATTCATAGTCGATTTACAAAACATAACTCCATTTTCACTTGCATAGAAAACCAGGATCCTCCAAAATATGACTCTTTCTCTGGTGTGTACAATCAAGCCGGTGCCGTCCCATGATACTGAAAGAAACCTGAAAAACATCACACAAAACACTATAAGCACGAAGCTTAGTGAGTTCCCCAAAATACCACATATAACACATATTAGCCACTCGAGGCTATAACTTTGTGGGTCCGTGCACCCAAACTCTGTGAACCCTCAGGTTCTAACTCTGTAAACATGCACAGCATAAATCACGTAGAAATAATGCAGTACAACACATAACATACATAGCACACAAAGACTCTATCGCATAACTCTGGTTACCTACTCAAGGTAAAGTAAGTGAGAAGACTCACTTGGAAAGCAGAAAGCAGATATCCCCACACTTAGATCTCGAACTCGCCACTGCCTAACACGTAAGGCAAATACTCTCATGAATATAACTCTCAAGACTAGAATCAATCCTCTCATGGCACCCTCTTAAGGGTAAAAGACTATTTTACCCCTCTCTTCGCCCAAAGGCCACATCGCTGACCAAACCCTAAAAGTCAACGGCCAACCCTTGGTCAAAATCAAAGTCCTCAGTCAAAGTCAACCCCTGACTGACCCTACTCGCCGAGTCAACCCTGTGACTCGTCGAGTTCCCATAATCAGAACTTCACTCAATCCGCGACCTAACTCGCCGAGTCACCCCGAGACTCGCCGAGTCCAACAACTCTAAGTCCACTCGCACACAACTCACCGAGTCATCCCTCGACTCACCGATTCTCGACTCAACCAGAGAATATCGAGACCCTTCGACAAGACTCGCCGAGTCCAAGAACAGACTCGCTGAGTCTAAGGCTATCATCAACCTACTCGCCGAGTTGTTCATACAACTCGCCGCGTTCCAGGCCATCTTCATCCAACTCGCCGAGTTGTTCTTCCAACTCGCCGAGTCCCAGCTCATCTTCAAGCAACTCGTCGAGTACACCCATGTGACTCGCCGAGTACCACCGGTCTGAATCCATTCAGAAGCATTCCAGGCCATGCAACTGCTCCAAAACATAGATCTAGTCTCTTACCACTCATCCATCACGTAAAGTGGCAAACTTTACGTGAATCTAAAGAGATCTAGGCCGTTTGCACATTGGGCTAGGGTTTGGGACATGTAAGCTTCACTAAACACTCCAACACAGGGACTTTCATGCTCTCTGATTCTTCTCCCTTCCAGATCTGAGGTAGCAACCTCATATCTAACCTCTAGACTTCCCATTACATCCATAGATAAATTCCCACAAACCCCAAAATGAAGAAACAACATAACAACAGCCCAATAACGAGATATTACCTCTAAGAGATGCCCCAACTGCAATGTAATTCGAATCCAAGCAAAGCCCCTTGCTCCAAGCCTTCAATCTCCCAAAATTCCTTCAACAATTACTTCTCCAAGCTCCAATCCACTCAACAATGGTGCTTCTCCGCGATTTAGGGTTTTCTGGGGCTCAAGGGGGTGATAAAGAGGCTGGGAGGAAAACATAATGATCTTTATATAAGGCTCAACCCCGAGAATTAGGGTTTTCTCCACTCAGCGCCTACTCGCCGAGTCCATCTCACTGACTCGCCGAGTCGGCTACTTAACACGCGACCAAGTCGCAACTTTACTCGCCGAGTCCATCCATGGACTCGTCGAGTCACTCTTTCACAACTTACTCTTTTAGCCCCTTCAACTCTACTCTTGATATTTCGGGATGTTACACTTCCCCCATTAGTTAGGGCTCAAATGAGAAGCGTTTCTATATATTCTAAAAACAGGGGCAAATCGGTGAGTCCAGTAACCGACTCAACGAGTCCATCACTTAAAATCAGTGGACGACAAGTCAGTGTCAAGAATCGCGAAACTTCTGACCAACTCGTCGAGCCCATTTGGAATCAACATTTTATCAAAACAAGAAAGTCGTCTGAAAAAATGTCTAGTTTTCAGAACATTTTTAATCTCGTCAATCGGAGTTACGGTTAACGAGATATGGCCAAAACACTAACAAGGGGTGAAGCTGTCCAGCAACATCTTTCTTTCTTCAAAATCCAAGATCCAAGCTGCCAATTGCTAAATCCGCTTCATTTTCCATCCGAGCATGTCATTGTTGTTGAAAAATGAAATTCTAAACTAATTAAACACTTTTTGTTCATTAAATGAGATAAAATAAACATAAAGTATTAAGATAATATATAAATTATATGACGAGCCTTCATCACATCTATTAAACATACTTTCTTTCACTCTTTTAACTTTTCACGTCGTATCAATGAAAGCCCTTTCAAAATATCGAAAATGGGTAAATAAAGTTTTTGAAAGATGTTTGGTGAAAGACCCTTTCATGAGCCTTTATCACATCTATCAGACATACTTCCATCACCCTTTCAAATTTTCACGTCATATCGGCGACACATCATTTCCTCGCCAACATTTCACAATATTTTTTACAAAGAAAATACTTATCTTTCAAACTTGTCAAGGAAATACCCACCGGTCTTTCTAACATGAGATACACCCCTTCACGAGCTTTCATCGCCAAACCATTGTACATAGGAGGGCATGATGTTGATGTGCGAGGCTTGATGCCACATCAACACCCCGTGCCTATGAAAAGCTAGTACCCTTTGTGGCCTAAGGCCATCCGGTACGGTCTTCACGACCATAACCTCCTTCCACCTCCACGTGACCACCACAACTCTTCACATTGATTCCGAGATGGTGTACACGAGAAAAGGTCATAGTCAAAGAGAGAAAGGAGACAGAGAAGTAAAAAGAAGACAGAGAGAAAGAGTCGTGGTCAAATGTTACAGTGACTAGTGACCACAATCCTCCACGTCAGTGAAGTATCACACAGACAGTCGGGATAATGTTTATTTTTGTTGGCCGTTGCCACATAGACTACGAGGAGCTTTGTGACTAATATACCGACCTGTCTAATATCCATTGGATATTTTATTTTGACATTAATGGTTGGTTTTCCTATGGAAATTTAGGATTGATATTTTCACATTTTGTAAACTAAGATGCCATGAAAACATATATTATATGTTTTTATCTACTTTCCTTCAACCTATACATCTACTATGTTATTCCTTTGTAAATTACGTTCACCCTACACGATCAGCAATTATATGTAGTCCTGCAAGAACATTCTACTTTAATTAAATGCGATAGGACTTGTATTTTGAAATAGTCTTTATATAAGTTATATCTTGAAGGCTGAAGCATAATTCAAATAAATTCCTCGAAATATCACAAGTACCAAGCATAATTTAAATAAATTCCTCAAAATATCACAAGTAAGCAGATAACAAAAATAATTGCATCAAATTCGACTAACTAATTTTAAAATAATATTTAAATCATATATGTCGGACGAAGGATCGGAATCTTAAAATATTATGTTTTTTTATTAAGTTATTGTATTATTTAAATAATTAATTATGTGAAGCCAAAAGGCCAAAAAGGACGGAAGGTGGAAAGAATCTAGAAATGTGAATTGATAGGTGATATATATGTATATGTATATGTGTATGTGTAATCTCTCTCTCTCTATATCTATCTATCTTTCTTGGAAAGCTTTTGCTCAAAACCCAGAAACACATTTATAAATTCTTTTTACAGATTTGCTGGCCAAATGGGCAAAGAAATTATTAATGATGGAATCAAAGCAATCTATATCTATATGTGTCCAGAGACCACATGTTGACAAACTTGTGAGTTCATTTCTAGAGAGAGAAAGATAGTCTAGAGATCTATCTATCTTATCTCATATCACTCTCTTTCTCGTATCTCTTTGATCAGAAAAAAGTGGCCCAGCGGATCCGAGATTTCCCCTTTTTTATTTTCTTTTTTCTGTTGTGATCATCGTTTCTGTGGTTGATTAATTAATTCCAACTCACAAGACACCTAAATTCTCCGATTTCTTTAATCTCTTCTTTAATTCTGTAAGAGATTGTGCTCCACATAGCATAATTTGAAGGCGTTCTGAAGAAGAATCAACGGCGTCAGGTAGTTTCTGTGTAATTACTTTTTTATTTCATTTTTCTTCGTAATTTACTACTTATTTTAAATATTAACTAGCTCTGGATTTCGTTGATAGTTTGATTTAGGTTTTACTTTGCACTGTTAATCTGGATTCGTTCATTAATTGTTCTTCGAATCTATACCTTGCGATTTTAGAGCTGCTTTTCCTCAAAAATCTTCATGGTTGTTTTTCACCGGTGTGTAAAACATTGTGCTAAAACTCAAATCAAATCTGTTCACTTTAGATCGATGATGGAATCTAGGGTAATAATTGAACACACTTGTTTCCAATTGCCTTATTTAAGAAAATTGTTTGGTGGGTGAAATCTCAAAGTCACTTTACTTTCATCAATAATTGGGAAAATTCTATCCTCATATGTTTGTTTGGTAAGATATTTCTATGCTGATTGGTCTTATCTCTAGGTTTCCAAACGAGGATCATTTACAACATCTTTATCATCGTCTAGACTGCTGAATTGACTTGTGTTTGACTTGTTTTACAATATTAAAATAATCAATTGTCCGATTTCTTAATAGTTACTTGATTTCACTGCAGAAATGGCAACCAAAGTCCAATCCAAGACATATTTTCCAGGTTCCATGATGGATCTTAACAATGGTTTCTGCAACAGTATGTGGGACCCATATCATGATGATAGAGCCTCTGCCTCTGAAAAGAGCCAGTGTTACAACTCCTTTATGATGATGCAAGCCATGGATGGATACTCTGGATATGCTAAAGAACAAATGAGACAAACTATTTTGAAACAGGATTCGATCTTCAGGCATCAGGTCTGTTATAACTTTTGAGATTTTCTTGAAAACAACAGTTTTGTTAACTTCTCATGTTACTAATCTGAGTTTCTAAAATGTTATTCAGCTTGAAGAACTTCATCGCCTGTATAAAAGACAGAGAGACTTGATGAGTGAACTCACCATGAAAGAACATTGCAATTTTTCAATGCCATTGAAGGATTACACACCTCTGAATTCAAAATCCAGCATCAATCAAAGAAGAGTGATTGATCTAGAACTACCTGCTGATGTATATGAAGATAATGAAGGGAAACCACAATTTGAAAAAAATGTTCATAAATTGGCTGATCTTAATGAACCAATCCACATGGAGGAAGCACCAAATTCAAATTCAGAACTTTGGTATTTACCAAAGATTTCTCAACAAAGGGAAATCTTTGATAAAAAGGAGTTAAGTTACAACAATGGTATTTTGCAAGGTGACCCTAAGAAACCCGTTGAACATTTATCTAAAAAAAGAACAATATTTGGTGTTGAACTCTGTGAAAGAAGCAATACACCAGTTGATTCTTCACAAAACCTTGAAAAAAAACTGCCTCCTTGGCTTATGATGAAGCCAAATTTATGCAATGAACAACCCAAAGGGAAAGAAACAACAATTTATCAAATGAACATGGATTCTTTACAGCATCATTCCCATCAGTTCTTCAAGAAATCCGAGATCACAAAACTTCAAACTGATAATCATCACCAAAGCATTACAAAAATTCTCGGGGTCTCCATTGTCAACTGTTCTCAATCTCATGATCAAAATGACATGAAAGAGAATGGTGGAAATACCTCAAGGAATCACATTGATTTGAATTTGTCTTTCGATGAAGAAGATTCACCTTCATCAACAACACCATACATTCCAGAATCCGTTGTAAAAATTGCTACAATGGAGATTGATTTGGAAGCACCTGCAACTCTTGAATCCGAAACAGACACACCTTCAACAGATGAAGTTTTCATTGATGCTGATGAGGATCTTGTTAAAGTTGCAGCTGAGGCTATGGTGTCCATGTCATCATCCGAACCACCACCACCACCACCGGAGGCTGCCGACACTTTGCTCCGGTGGTTCGCGGAGGTGCTTGCATCTGGCAACAAGAAAGATCCAGAAGAATTGGATAGTGATAAAGAGTTTATTATTCCTGAAGGTATGGATTACTTGGAGTACATGACATTAAAGATTAAAGAAACAAAAGAAGAGTATATTTGCTATAAACCGATTGAAGAAGATGAAGTTTCATTATTACGAAAAAGGACAACAAGAAAGGGACAAGGGAAGAGGGGTAGGCAAAGGAAAGATTTTCAGAGGGATGTTTTACCAGGGATTGTTTCTTTATCAAGGCGTGAAGTGACTGAAGATATTCAGACATTTGAAGAGGCGTTTACAGGTATTGGTGTTTCTTGGCAGTCTAAGAGGAAAGTTTCCGGAAAGAATGGGAGGGGGAGGCGGCGGTTGGTGGCTCCAGACCCATCTTCTCAGACACCGCCACCGCCACCACCATCACCGCCAGTGGTGGTGGTTGAGCAGAGTGTTTGTAGGGAGGAGAAAAGTCTTAGCGGGTGGGGGAAAAGGACAAGACGTTTGCCAAGACAGAGGTGTCAAAATAATGGTGGTAATCATCAGTCTCTTGCTTTGAAGTGTTGAGTATGAGTATGAGTATGAGTATGAGTAGATCATTTTGTTTTGTTGTACATAAAATTATATACAGTAGACTTGTTGAATTGTGTCTCCTGTACAATGACTGATGAAATTTGTCATCAAGAAAGGTGGGTAATTTGGTAATTTGGTAAGGTAAACAGTATTTTGTTTTATGAGTTTGGTATAAAAACGGAAGGACATTGTTTGATTATTGGTGTGGGTATATGGCAAAAACGATAAGTGGATGAGTTTATAATGATCGATGATTGATTAATGTTAAGTTTGATAAAAGATTTGGAGAATGAAGGTTGAAAGAGTAAATTGATAATGACACTAATAGACAACTATAATAAGGATATATTACAATATTTATATGTAACCTGCACAAACATTTTTCTTTCTTTTCCCAAAAGCAAGGGCACTTGTTTTTAGGCTTTCTAAAAGCCATTATGATCGTATTTTTCAAGAAATGCTTATATTTGCAAAAAAATAAATAAAATAAAATAACTTTTAAAATAAAACAATACGTGGTTTTTGGTATTTGGAGTTTCTTGGTGGCTTGAGGTTTACTTTGTAGAGAGAAAGAGGAAAGAGGGCATGGCCGGTTGTCACTACATGAATTTGGGACATATTTCCAACAAGGACATAATGCAGGGGCCAGGGGTGAGCTTGATGTGTTTTTGGCTAAAAATGCACCTCGGTTTTTTCAATCATCAAACTGTTTTTATTGTTTTTTTTTTTTTCAACCACGGTTTCGGTTTAAATCCGCAAAATGAAATAATAGCGGTTTTCTTTCTAGTGTGGTTTGATTTTAAAACCGGAAGTGTCCAAAAGTGAAGTCTTTTTTTTTTTGAAGCGTTTATCCTTTACCCAACACGCATTAGCCATAAACATGAAGCTTTTTTTTTCTTTTTACTTTTTTAATCTATAGTTGAAGGTGTTTTTGTTAGGTTGCGTTTTTGTTCTTCCTTAACAAAACGTGTCATGTCCATCTAAACAGGAGTTCGAGTATGAAAATCCGAAGGGAAGAAGTTTGTAATAACTCAATAAATATATAAAAGTTTGTGATCTCCATTGATACAACCTTGTTGAAAATTACCCCTCCATCTATAAAATGATTTTGGAGGGAAAAGCTTTGACCATATGGTGTACCGTATACCACGGTAAGATGTGGTATACGGTAAACACCACACCGCCCAAAAAAGAAAGTACAGTATGACGTAAGTAAGGTATGGTTTTGACGCACTTTTTTTCTTTTAATTACTATTAAATCATATATATATATATATATATATATATATATATATATATATATATATATATATATATATATATTAAAAATTATGAAATATATATCAAAATTTATGGTTTTTAATTCCATATAAATAGAATATTATATTGATATATTATTTACATATATTTAAAATTAAATAAAAGTATGATAAAATCAATTTTGTAGGGTGAGATAAAAATTGACGTGACATTGCAAAAGTATGACAAGTATAGTATAACATCTACTTGCCTAAGGGACTCAAACCTGCGCCTGTGCCTCTCATAAAAAGGCGTCGCAACTTACCATTACACATTACACCAGCATTAAACTCGTTGTTTCATATGTATTCTTATATAAAGGGTTGGGCCCAATTTGGAAAATTGGGCCATAGATGGGCCAAAATCTGGGCCTTGTGGATTATTAGAGGTTGGACCAGTGGAATACTAAATGTTTGGACTGGACTAAATGGTTGGGCCTTAAGATAAGCCCATGTAGAGGTTTGGGCCTAATTTGGAAAATTAGGCCATATGTTGGACTTTGGTCCATAGTTTGACTTTTAGGCTTTTGGATTAGGCCTTGGACTTGAATAAAGCTAAGTTAGGGATAAAATAGTCTTTTACCCAAGCATGGAATTATGGTTACGTATTGGAACCCAATTATTAATTGGGTGTTTGTTTTGATGCTGACAGTTCGGGAATTTGTCAACCAACAACTAGAGATTTATTCGCAGGACTTCAGCAGTGTGAGGTGAGTCTCATCACCATACCAATGGGTCGAAGGCACCAAGGGCGACCCATTATGTATTACGTGATATGTTAGTTGATTTTGTGCTATATGGTATGCTAATTGGTTATGTGGTATGTGATATGCTAGTTGTCTTTGTGATACTTGCATGGAAGACCTCGGGGGGGAGGGGGGTCCCGAGGCACTTAGGTGTAAGACCTTGGAGGGTTTCCACGACATCTTAGGTAAAGACATCGGGGGGTTCCCGAGGCACTAGGGTGTAAGACCTTGGAGGGTTTCCATGGCATCCTTAGTCAACACCTCGGGGGGGGGGGGGGGGGGGGGTTCCAGGGCATTGGGCTAAGACCCTGGAGGGTTTCCAGGGCATCCTTATATGTTTATACGCATGACTTATGTGATTGATAAGGTTTATGTCATTATGTGGATTATGTGGGGTATGCTCTGGGAAACTCACTAAACTTCATGCTTATGGTTTTCAGTTTTTGTTTTAGGTACTTCGTTTTCAAAGGAAAGGAGTTGGCGATCGCGGCGCATCACACTATGTTTTCCGCACATGAGATATTTGGGATTACACTCTGATATTGTTTTATGATAACACGTTTTGGTTATTAACACTTTGGGTTTTGACATGGGATGTTATTATGGATGTTTTTATACTATTGGTTTTATAATAACTTAATTAAAAATGAAATTTGTGGTCTTGAATTTTGGGATGTTATTAAGAAATTTAGAGATCAATATGAACTTTAACCTCAAATTGGTATAAAGACCTTATTAACATAACCATAAAAGAAACTCACCAAAAGCATAACCTCAATAGATCACCTATGGTCGGGTCTGCCAAAAAAAATATAAACAACTACCTAAAAGTTTTGAAGTTCATTGTAATTTTATATAAAGACTTCCAATAGGCCGGTACCATAACTCGGGTGCATGTACAAAACTCGGGGACAATTTCATCCAAAACTGAGTATCTGCAACATAAACTGGACAAGTACAATGTGTTTAACAAAAGTAAGCATCTACAACATAAATTGGGCAAGTATATAAACTTAGGGGAAATTTCGTCCATAATCGTCATCACAAAACAAAGAAGAGACATGAAATAAAGGCAAAAAACAGAAAAGTAACTCTTAACCTCACACTTGACTTAACAAAAAACTATTAGTGGATATTTTAACTAGTTTAAAAAATCAGACCTTTCCAGATAAACGTCTAACCCTGAAATCATCAAACAACAAAGGAAACTTATGTAATTTGTAACTTACTTGGAAATAGATGGGATGAAGGTGGAGTGTTTGCATAGAGAATCTTAGAGTGGAGAGGTACGTCCGAGGATGGCTTGAGAAAAAAACAAAATTGAACCATAGATACTTGACTTCGTATCTACTACTGATTTTATAAACTAAAGAAACACATAAAATCCATTTCTATTCTCTTGAGAAAAACCATATCTGCACAAAGAACCCCATAAATTGTTTATGTTCATTTTGGGAAAAAGTAAAATCAGATAAGATAACAATAGAGTGAACCATGAGTGTGTGTAGGCAGATATATAGAAATAGTGTGCGATGGAGCGTGTATGTAGCGGTTGTAGTCTTGGTTGGTGTGACAAGTTAGAGAGATTTTATAGACATATACTTCAAGGTTAGAAATGTTACCTAAGGTTAAACCTCAAAATCAAGGTCAGATGGTGAGGATTTCGATTATGTTGCTTCCTATGATCATATCGACTTTGGTGGTCGTCCTTCCCCTTTTGTAGATGGTCATCGGACATCGATGGAGAGCGGAGGAAGTGAGAGCGATTGAAGTCAATGGTGGTAGATAAAGGAAAAAAAAAGAATTTGATGAAGAAATAGAAGAGAAGCGGTTGAGTGAGAAGCACAATCGAGGAAGATGGCTTGAAACCATTTGATATTTAGGTATCGAGGCGTCGGTGGTGTAGGGTGTGGTAGAGTAATGTTATCGGGGAATAGAAACAGTGGAGGACACCGTGTTGGGAGTAAGAAGTCTGTAGAGGAAGAGAAGAACGCGTAGAAATAGAAATCAGTAGTTACAGGGAAAGAGAACACTTAATTATGGCCATAATGAATTAATTTTTTTTTTTTTTGGAAAGGTCCAATAGGAAGGAAGAGAGTAATGTTCATAAAAGGACTTTGGATTTACTATTATATATAATTATCAGTGATAGTGATAGGCTTTACGGAAAATCACAACTCATTAAGAACACATTACAATCCAATATACAAAAATCACGACGCATCTGTGATTTGGTTGACTAAATAGTAGTGTTTTGAAAACCGGATCAGACAGGCTGGTTGAACCGGTTCAACCAGAAACCGACAAGGCTGGTTTTTTATACCCAAAAAACCGCTTGGCATCCAAACCGTAAAAAAACCACCAGTTTACTTAAAAACCGTAAAAAACCAACTTTTAAACCGGTATATTGAAAAATAATAATTTTCTTGTATCCAGCCCAAACGAGGCAGCCGGCCCAAAAAGAGGCAGCCGATGATACTTCAATTGTTCCACTAAATTTTGATAATGCTTCCTTTTATTTACTCACTTTGCCTTCTGTTTCTTTCTCACCCATCGATGTAGGATTCCTCAAATGTAACTCTTCGATATTCCTTTACACTAGATATAGGACTTCGTCTACAATATCATTTACAATTTATACAACACACACATTAAATATATATTAGACAAAACTGCACAAATGGTCCCTATGGTTAGCTGAAAATTGCCACTTCGGTCCAAAAAAGTTTGGACTGGCACCAGAGGTCCAAACTTTTCATTTTGTTGCAAGTTTGATCCAATTTGCTTTAAACTTTTTATAATAACGATTTTACCCTTACCTTTTCCTTTTTCAAATTTATTTATTTATTTAAATATTTGACTGATTAAAAAATAAAAAGAAAAGAAAAGAAAAGAAAAAGCACACACATACACACAGAAAAGGAGGAAGCAGCCTCCATCACCCACTCATCGGAGAAACACTATCCAAACACCCCTCGTTGCTGCTTCATTCCCTAACCACCAACGCCACCAAGAAATATCCTAATACCACCAAGGACCACCTTGCTCCACCACGTCATCACCGCAACTTCCCACCACCCTCTACTCCCCCACTGCCTTTACCGATCAAACCAAACCCAACTCCCTTCCTTTCACTTCGTTCTCGCCGGAAAGAGAGAAAAACAGGAGGCAGAAAGGGCAGCAATGAGGACGAACCGAGAATGGGGTAGCGCTAAATAGATCTAAAAAAATCGATAGCGGGTTCGACTGTG